CGAAGCCAGAGGTGAAAAGGCCGATTCAATCAAAGGTCAGAATATAAAAATAATAATTGGAAAATATATATTTGAATTAATAACTACAACTCCTTTACCTTACTACTGACGTTGCTATAGGAACCATGACGTCACGAGCCAGTATAAATTTCTGTCTGTCATTTTTTTTTTACAGATGGATTGCTAGTAAGTAAATATAATTGACGTCAAGTCCCTGGACGACGTCTCTCTCTAGGTTTTTTTTTACTTTAAAAAAAGAAGTGCCGAGGGGTTTTGTCCATAGCTTATGTACACGTGGGATTCTATCTGTAGCAGCCCACAGAGGGGGTGTCACGTAAATGAAATATAAGGATTATACAGAAAGATATTGACACCAAAAACTGAATTACAACAAAGACAGGGTTCTTAATAAAAGGCCAAATTTTATTGTTGGCAAAACAACCAACAACTTAATTACAAATATGTAGATTTGTTAGAACTGAAAGGAGTCACCACCTGGTAAGATGTGAAATATTAAAAACACATAAAAATTGTTCGAAAGTGTGAATGTGTAGATATGCAAATAGTTAATTTACATGTCCAGAAAAAGGAACATGGTAACCACATGCACTTTGGAAATGTTCGTGTGTTTGATGAAAGGATAAGTTTGAAGAGGACCGGGGGTTTATGTGTTGTTGAATTCGGAACACTTGCTGTTTATTCCTGCAAGAAGAAGGTCCGACTACAAGAACATGGCGGACTCAAGTTGAGTCCAACCGAAGAGATAAAACAAAAAATAAGACAATATATATATATATATATATATATATATATATATATATATGTCAACAAATATATGTATTAAACAACAAATTTACAAGTGACAAAGACATCAACATTTGTGTTTGTGTGTGAGCGTAAAAAGTTTGTATTTTGGTGAATGATCGTACGTACGTGTATGTGTGTTTCATGGCGTTTTCCCACAAGTGGGCGAAAACGCAGATCTCTACGAGAGATCACATTTTTAAACGTATCCGCTGAAATGCAAAGTAAAAAAAGAGAACGAGGCAATAAGTCTCCCAGTGTTTATAGGGTAGAAAGAGCGACCCCTAGTGAACAATTAGGGAATTAAGGAGGAGCTAAGTCCGACAAGTTAAACTTGAATGAAGTGATTTGGGACTGGTAAGTGAAATCCAAAAATCGCGTGCTGAATAAAGAAGATACAACAAGTGGCATGTCGTTACGTAAATCCAGAAATTGGCGGGGAACCAAATCAAAGAGGTCTTGCTTCACCGATAGGCGGAAGTCGTTTCTACTTCCTTCAGACAATCCTTCCGGTCAGAGAGACAATCAATTTGTGTTCAACACGTAACCCTGGTGATGGTGGGATCATATATGCTAAGCGCGAATAGATGTGGCACAAGACCGGTATGGGGCACCCAGTGGTCGAATTTTACTCAGTTGTAATTGATCTAGCAAGAATAGATGTTACACATGTTAGACCGAAATGAAACAGAACTAGGGACTTTAATTTAATTCTATAATTGAATTTGAAGTTTTAGTTTCTGTTTTTGAAATAATTAATTCCTGTGTGTAGCGATGAAACCATATTTTAAATTAGTTGTATTTGATGTAGATTTGCATTGAGCATAAGCTTAAAAATATTAAGACGGTCACCGGATTACATATCTTATGTTCTTTCTCTTTATTCCAAACACACACACACACACACACAACACACACACAAACATATATATATATATATATATATATATATATATATATATAAAGTTGTTATGGTCGCGTAACTTGGATTTCTTTGCCTAATTAAGTAGACATTTGAAAACATTTTTCTTTAAGAAGTTTTAGTATTTTCTGTTTTTTGAACATGCTGGTTTATTCCCTTGTGCCAGACACCACACTAAACTACCGAGTCTTTTTAAATTAATGTAACGAAGAAATTTTAATCCATTTAAAATGCTTAAGATAGCCGGCACAGAATGACGGAAAAGATTTGCAAGTAACTTATCCCGTGGTATTAATGAAAATAGGAATACAAGATGGCTAAGTTTTTAAAAATAAAAAGACACGAGGAGTATTAAGATAGAAAAGAGTCTCACTGATTTTTTGGCGTTATATATTATGCTTATTTTTAAGGTACTTTCAGAGTCCAATGATTTGAGAGTGTATGTGATTTTGTGTTTTAGGTTCAAAGTAGGGACTCGGTCACTTGACACACAATGCTGTGGGCACACCACACAAACACACACACACACACACACACACACATATTCGATATATATAAAAGTGTAAGTCACCTGTTGTTTCTGCCGACGACTGTGTCGTGGTCTAACGTCTTCTGGTCGAAAATGGAGAAGGTCTGACCTGCGATTAGTTGTTCGTCAGTTATCCCTGTCTGTATTTATTTCACTGACGAGGGATTAAGCCTAAGAATACGAAGTTTCTGCTCACGACCGTGTCGTCGTGTCTCTAACGTCTTCTGGTCGAAAACGACGTTTGGAAAAACATCTTTTCGACATTTTGAGATAAGATATTCCGGCCTCGCATATGGGTTAAGGCACACGGAATAAATGAGTTCCCATCTGGTTAGGTCGAAAGTCGGGAGGCAACTGGTTGACCTGCGGGTAACGTCAAGACGAGAAGAAGTCTTGTTTCGCCATTGTTGAAATAAGATATTCCGGCCGCATTTAAGGGCACGGAATAAATGAGTTGCCCATCTAGTCAGGTCGATTTTTATAAAGCTGGCCGTTTTTGAGATGCCGCGAAACGCGCGGGAAAAAATTCAAAAATCTATTAGTCTGAGTTCATCAGTAGGGAGAACGGTTACTGCTATGTCTTGTGTGAGAGGAAGAAAGGGAAAACCCGCACAGTAAAGGAAGGGAGAAACTCGCGCGCGTAAAATATAGATGGAATTAAAATTCCATTGTCAAAGTTTTGTTAGAATTGAGAAACACTTGTACGTAAAGGTAGTAACAGAACCATTGTCAGTCAAGGGAGATAATCCACATGCAATTATTAAACCGTTGGATATGGCACATCTCCCTTTAAACTCTGACTTGTCTCAAATTCCAAGCCGGTGCAAGGGTTTCGTCCACCGCCACCACGGAAATTATGATGCCTGCCCTACACTACCACCTCCCAATTTCAATAAGATAGTATTCATATCAAATTTTATTGTAACCTCATTATCTACAGTAATATAAAATGCAACAGAGGTGACGATTCAACTAGAAAAATTGAAAATAAAATGTATCTAAATATGTTACAATATATAATTTCAACTTAGATCAACAATGTTTTGCGGCAATTTTTAATATCAACTTGAGAATTTGTTAAAACGTTGAAAAATTTAACACATTCAACATTATGGATAAAAAATACTGAAATTTATATAGTGTTTTTTTTTTTTTCGAGACTTAGCATGAACAAAACAAATTCACCGATTTGGACAACCTCGCCACCCGTGTAGAATGACGTCAACATCCGCGAAAATTTGTAATCCTTTAATAGTCCGTTGTGTTTAGTTTAATTTTTAACGTATATAAATGTTGATACAAAAAAAATACAAATGTTGATAAGATAGCAAGGGTCCCAAAACATTGTTCGGGTATCCCAATCAGCCCGGCCTCCAGCCCAGGGGATCGGGGTTAGTACACGCCGACCCTGCATATAAATAAACTTGCTTTTTCCACTGTCAGTATGAGGTTAGAAAAAATGTCTGGACACGTGGCTACTGATGGGACGCTTCACTGTTCGTACTATTTCCTTTGTTTTTGTGGGTTATCCTACTTGACTTTGCCAAAAGCGCTCGCCAGGGGGCACTTTTTAAACCTATAAATTGGCAATCATATTCTCTCTTTTTCGTTTTCTTTTTTTTTAAGCTCCGGCTTTCAGAGGGTCACACGTAAATGGGAACACTGCCAACAAGGCGCGTTCGATTCTTTGGTCCTCCATTGACTTTTGAACTCTCTCACACACATATATACACACACGTGTATATCATGCACCTTATTATACACACAAAAACATTCTTCTTATAACCTGTTTTAATGTTTTTCCCTTTAATTACAATTGTCTGCACTTGTAATTCCATTTGTTAATATATTCATTGGCGTTTGTTTTATATTTATTGTTTTGTGTTATTCGTTTTTACCTGGACTCACATTGAGTCCGCCAATATTGTTTGTGGTATAAATGTCAACAGAAACTCATAAACATTTATTATCAAAAGTGATGATTCACACACCATAATGGTGACTAATATTTAATCAAACATACAGTGCCGGATTTAGATGAAGAGAGGCCCCAGGCCATTCCACTAGTGAAGCCCCTTCAAATCTTCTATTCTCACAAGTAGATGTAAATGGAAGAGTGTCAAATTAAACAATTTGAGTAAAGCCGAGGATGATGACGGGTGTTTAAAATTACTGAAGGGTTGTTTCGAGTCTACAATGCATTGTGGTAGCATTTGTAAGAAAGGCCCATGACAGTGTAAAAGATATACACCTTGGCTGAAGGCCCCCTAGATTTTGAGGCCCTAGGCTTCAGTGTGCTAAGCCTAAAGGTAAATCCGGCACTGCAAACATACTAGCTTCCCGCAACACCTTTTGCGTTGCTCTCACTAAAACCGGTCTGTTCCTCTCAACATTTAGAATATCTTTCAATAATTACTAATGAATAATTATTTCGCTTTGATTTTTAAAACATTTCAGAAGCCATTACACTTTACTTTTCACGATTGAACAATGATTTCTGAGCTTTGTATTTTTGCTAAGAGAAAGATTTTGCATTTGAGTTTGACAATATGAATACTTTTAGTAGGATAACATCCTCTTCAAAAATGTTCCTTACATACTTATTTCTTTGAATGTTGTTTTTAAAAATCATTCTTTCGATAATTTTCAAAATCCTTCGTACAACTGTGAATTATTTCTCCTTATGCCTGCTGGGAAAGGTTGGTCCATTATCGTGCCATCAGGTAATTAATGTCTGATACTAAGATCTATCTATCTATCTATCTATCTATCTATCTATCTATCTATCTATCTTCTTGACAGCATACAAAGAAGAATCCGCAATGTTATTGGTCATGACCTGGCATCTTAGCTTCAGTCACTTTTTCGCCGCTGTAACGCAGCTTCCCCGTGCCTTTTCTATAATTACTTTCAAGTTCTGATGAACTTTCCTCTATGGCACCTAGACCTAGACTTTATGAATTTAAGCACAGCACTAGATTGGCGGCAAAGTTTCATCATTTTGCAGCTGAAGTCGTAACCGTAACTTCTGTGCTAACAGTTTCTTCTTTGGCACTTCTCGTTCGCGGAACTCTCTTCTGGTTTCTTGCTTTCCACTAAAATTTGATCTTTAAAAATTTAAATTCAATATCAATTATTATCTTCTGTTTTCTTAATTCATGTTCTTTTATTATTTTCTCTCTTTAATAGTGTTTTTCCTCATATTCTATCATAGTCTAGTAACCCATTGCATCTTAGTAGCTTTATTGCCTTGCTTGAGGTAAAATGATTAAACGAATTAATTGGCAACATATTCAATTTTTCGATGGTTTTTCGGCAAGGTTAAAATACAAAACTGAAACAAAGTGTATGTAAACATCGTTTCTGAGAGCACTGTTAAATAATAAATAAATAGGATACTTAAAGCTAAAAAAAAAAAAATAAATCCATTTGATTCGGTTTTGTCAATCTGTCGTCTGCTTTATTCAATACATAATTCATCTGTTTATGTTTCTTTCATTATCTTGCATACAAATTCGACTATAACGATGAATTGGTCACAGAATGCTTATAAAGCGTTGATTATTACTCGTATAAATATCAATGGATCGGTAAACATCCATTTTTTAAAATAAACGAAACAGATGTCCAACGAAACAAAGAGGGGTAAAATTGTAAAAATAAACGGTATCGACATTTTCTTCGTTGTGATATTTCTGACATTAAAAGTTTATAAAGGCTTTTCAGAAGAATCAGAAGCTTCTTGAGGTTTTTCTGTTACTACTTTTTCGTCTTCATCAGCAACACCTTCTTCAAATTGGAATTCAACTGAAAAAAAAAGAACAAAAAAAAAACGATAAATTAGATTATCTTCCTTATCTAAGGCAGTCAACGAAGTTTTTGTTTTATTACGAAAATCCATTGCAAATCAAGAAGAACTGGATTATCAGTGATCACAAATTAAAACAAGTGTTGCTGGCAGGATAAAAATTACTGAAGGGTTGTTTCGAGTATACAATGCCTTGTGGCAGCATTTGTAAGAAAGGCCCATGACAGTGTAAAAGATATACACCTTGGCTGTAGTTTTATCAAAATTTTTAATTTACTACCCGTAAACAATTAAAAAAATTATTGGTACTAAATCCCCAAATAAGTAGATTGTTACAATGTAGAAGGATTACCACATTTGATCTGCCAACAGACTTTGCCAAACATCCGCTAGATGGCGTTGTATAAGGCAGTATATAAAAAAAAAAAACATAAATGCGCTTTCTCTTCTTTCTTTAGTCACAAAATATTATAGTGAAAAGACGTATCTCGTTTCCCTTTCGTGGTGGCTTTTTATCTCTCAGACGAAACACGAATCGCATCCAACAGACTATTACCTATTTGACAAAGCTTCATACAATCACAACAATACATCGCATAAATATATTCATTCAACATAAGATAATATATCAGTCCAATAAACGAGACAACGTTGATATAAACTAGTAATCTAACATCATTACATTCCACCGCCTCATACCAACATTAATTATCAAAAGTTTTTTCTTATTTTTTACAAAAAAAAAAAAAAAAAAGAAAAAGACACCCCCCAAAAAAACCCCGCATCTAATGTGCTATTAAGCTGGCCAATCAGAACCCTGCCTTGGTGCAGAAAATTCCATTTTTCTACTGATCAATTTACGTTGTACTGCAACTTGCCTTTGGATCATAACGTCCAATACAAAAATGAAACAAAAAAAAAAAAGAAAAAAAAAATGAAAAAAGCTTACGTCATGAGACAGATGTTCCTTAAGAATAACAAGTTTGTTTCACTTGTAAGCGGTCACATCCGGGTACACTAGCTCCTACTCAACATGCATTCTAACCTATTATTTAATTCTCTCATGGTGTCCTGTGCCGTGACCTATGTTAGAACAATCACTTGAATTCGGAGCTACCTCGCGCATGTCGTATCATTGCATATATTACCACAATAACATAAATAGCAAGAATAATTTAATATTGCTATAGATATACAGTGTCTTCTTTGCTTTACAATTACGTATATAATATTACCACAACCTCACCACTGATAGTTAACTTATAAGAACAAAAAATACTGATTACACGGGGAAATAATTGATAATTCTAGAAAAGCAATCACGTTATTTTTGGTTTGCAATGCATTTCTATCATAAAATTATGACTAATAAACTTACATTATACACAATAGCTTTATCCTGTCAGTAACACTTAATTTTTGACCACCGACAATGCTATTCTTTTTTTTTTAATTTGCAACGCATTTCTATCAAAAATGATTAGTAATGCACTTAAATTATGCACATAAAAGCATTATCCTGCCAGTAACACTTGTTTTAATTTGTCATCACAGATAATTCCGTTCTTCTTGATTTGCAATGCATTTTCGTAATAAACTTAGCAATACATAAATATTATACATATAATAACCCTATTTTTTCAGTAATTTCCATTAATTCCTGATCACTGACAATCCCTTTTTCTTAGTTTTCAGTGTATTTTATAGTAAAATAATGTACAATGTATCATTATTAAAATTATTAGCAATTAATTTATTTTCCTTTGTTCGAGTTTCTTTCATATTTTAAAAAAAATGTCATTCACTGGTGCCATCTAATGCTAGAGGTCTCTTCCACTCTTTCTATTTAACCTATAGCTAGGGGGTGATAAAAGGGGTGAATTTATGTTGTTCCCAAGGGAATTAGTGCAAAAGTGAGCGCAACGGATTAGGCGGAAATTCGAACCCGGCTCGCCGTTTCGACTTTTTTTTGCGCTGATAACCGTTATGTTACCCGTATATGGATATTATTTCAGGAATATCTGCATTAATCCCTAAAAAATGATAAAGGTTTTCTCTTGGATTTTCACTGCATAAAAAAAATAATCGGCAATGCCTGCTTTCCCTCCCGAGGCCAATGTAGTAATAATGATGGGGGAGGGGTTATGCTGATGACATAGATGTTCATAGTTGGGATAAGAATGATTTTAAATGGAAAATCAGCATCCTGTATCAAGTGTTTCAAGAAATGGGACTCAAGATATCTCTTACCAAGATAGAAAATATGATCTGGAATTAGAATGGAAGCAGTGATGGCACTTACACTGAATCTATCATAAAAAATCAGGATGTGGAATTAGTAAATACTAAATACTCCAGATACGTCGGCGTATGGATCAGCTACAACAAATTAAGTAGGAGAAAAGGAAATTGGACATAGAATAGGTTGAGCGAAAGATAGTTTTGACCAACACTGCAAATTGCTACAAAACCAAAACATCAACCTGTAAACTCGAGTCATGTTCTTAAATAGCATGGTTAGATCAACACTTTCATATGGATGTCCTGCTTGACACCAAACCCATTGAAATCTAAATCTATCTAAACTGTCAGTTGAATCCAACTGCTTCCTAAAATCAATGGTGAAAAAAAGCTTTGAGTGAGTGAAGTCTGGAGGTCTTGGCAAAGACCATCCTTTGAACAATGTGAACCGGCACTACAGATTGATAAAGAACTGTCCCAAATAAGAGAAACTACATCACTTGAGGACTGCCAACAGCAGCAATATCTAAAATGGATAGCACACATGAAATGCTTTAAAAAAAAAGAAAAAAAATATATGAGGCGGCTTCTTTGATCTATGTTATTCTATGTTAATCTTTGATCACATCATTCTTGATATATTATTTTCTACACTACCTCAAACATAAGGTTAGGAAGCAAGCCTTGAAAGAGCAATAACAGTGACTGGACTTGGAAAACCTATTTTTCTGAAAAACTATTTTAAGAGGAAGATTTTATAAGCAGTACTGGCTGCAAGGTCAGTGAATACGAAATGTTTCCTTGTGGGGAAAAAGGTTCCAAAAAAGGAGGTGGATAGTCTCTTAGACATCATACATTATAATGTAAGGTCCATATGGATCAGCTACAAAAAAATTAAGTAGGAGAAAAGAAAATTGAACATAGAATAGGTTGTGCCAGAGGTAGTTTTACCCAACACCGCAAATTGCTATAGAACCAGAGCATCAACCTGTAAACTTGAGTCATGTTCTTAAATGGCATGGCCAGATCAACACTTTCATATGAATGCCATGCATAGAACCAAACCCATTCAAAAATATCTAAACTGTCAGCTGAATCCAACTGCTTCCCAAAATCAATGATGAAAAAAGGCTTTGAGCAAATAAAGCCAGAGGGTTTGGGCAAAGACCATCCTTTCAACGATACTGTGCATACCCTGGCTGGAACATGTGAGCACATAGTGAGAAAAGAAGGCTTGGAGAAGTTGACACTCACATATTGAGCGCAAGAGGGACACGGGGAAAGGTCGAGTAACCTGCTTAATGGGTAAATGGATGGCAGGGCTGGGACCGAGAGGGATTGTAAAGGAATAAAGGCTGCTTGGAGCTACAAAGGTACGAAAGCTGTAGAGAGCGATGATTGCCTACACCATGAAGGGAGGTGACATATAAAAGAAAATCTAGAAATCTTTGAAAAATAAAATGAAACTTGATTTCTGATGGTAGGCTCTTTTTCATCATCAGAGTTTTGTAATCGTGGTGGGGATGCGATCGCAGAAGCCATATTGGATCTCCTGCGTAACGGCCTATCGACGGCAGCCATCAACAATTCTGGGATAGTCATACTTGTACATTATTTGACATTGTCCAACCAGTCTTTGCGTTGGCGTCCTCTCCTACGTCCACCTTCAACGATGTCTTGCATGACGGTATTTTTAATAACACTTTTATAACGCTTGTAAATAGTGTATCATCTGAAATAAATTTTGTCT